TTTTGGTGATCAGAATTGGCCGCCCAGATCATGTGATTTAATGCTGTTGGACTTTTTTCTTTGGAGTTTTTTGAAGTCTAAAGTTTATGCCAACAAACCCACGACCACCCATGCCTTGAAGGAGGAAATTGAGCGCTGTATCAACGAAATTCAGCCACATTTATGCAAACGGTCATGGAAAATTTCAACAAAAGAGTGCGTATGTGCCAGCAAAGCCATGGAGGCCATTTACCCAATATACTATTCCATACATAACCCTATACTGTATACTTTATGAATCAATAAAAAGTTTACAATTTTTAATTATAAACCTATGTTTTCTATCAAAATTACTTCTTGCGTGAATTTTGGGACACCCTTTATTTTACTTTACATAGTTGAGAGGATTACCAATTTATTTACAGATTGAAATAAAAGCACAAGCACATTAAGAAGACAATTTTCAGACAAAATAAATGAAAAGTATACTACAACCTTTAAACTAAATGGGTGGAATTAAAAGGAGTATAGTATTAACTTATGAGTTTTGTAAGTCATATCAGAAACCCAGATGTGATCTAAAATTATTTATGACATTTTCATAGATATGAATCCTCACACATGGAAAAAGGATGCCTTGGTTTGATGGCTATTACCCTGACAAATGTAAATTTGCAAATAGTCCTATGCTAAACCCAATGGAAACAACATAATATGCCAATTCATAATGGAGCTTACTATAGCAATATGTCTCATATTTTTATCGAGAATTTATATTAATTATAAAATATTAAAATTAAGGCACAGAGCCTATGATATTTTTTGAGAAAGCATAAAAATGTAGGAATGCTGGTTTCCTTAAAAAGTGAACTGACTTGGAGTTAAGAATGCTAAATAAACTTAGCAATTTTTAAAACCCAATATGAAAATACCAGATTTGTCAAAATAGCCACAGAAATGTTCCAAAACAACACAGTTCACTGTTAGCATTGAGAAACTCATACATTTGTAAACCAAGATTCTAAATTCCTTTTATGTGGAAATATGAAACATTTTAAAGCAAATATTTTTTTTACCTTTAAAAGTTCAGGCTCCCACGTGTCTAAAGTTAAAGAACGTACTTTTGAAAAATGAACTCCAAGACTCCTAAGTGGGAAAAGACTTTGTTAATATACAAAACTATCAACCTTGATTTGCTTTTTATGCAAATTATTTTCTCTTACAATGTGACAGTCTCTAATAAAGCCCTCAACACACATATAAATAGGAATACACCTTCTGATTTAATACAATGAATGGTAAACCAAAGTCCTCAAAAGCTCTTCACAAGCCAGAATTGTATCCACTTTACAAAGGTAAAAAGATATAAACTAGCAGTCAAATTAGGCAAGTGGAAAAGGCCCTCTAACTAATGGGACATGATAATTTACATGTATGTTTATCCAAAAGAAGTCTCTCACCCTGGGCAGGCCTACTCACCGGTGAATTCCAGAACACTCGATACACAGGGTGATGCCCAGGTTGATGCTGGCCCACCGTGGGTCTGCCAGGCCACAGTCACAGCAGCTGGCATTGCCAGGGATACACTGGACTCGCTGCAGTGCACTTTCCCCTTTCAATAATTTATCTTTTGACTCATTTCCAGAATCCAGGCTTCCTGTGGATGGAGATGATTTCTTATCCAGCTTCTAAAAAATTAAAAATTATTTGTTTTTGTCTTCGTTTTAAAAAAGATTATAATACCATGTTGCATACTATAGGCTCCAAACAAAAGTTTCTGGTCAATAAATTGAAGCCTATTATGGACCTAAACCAGGCACTGGTAGAAGCATTAGAGATTTAAGAATGGAATGATAGCCCTGGCCAGTGTGGCTCAGTTGGTTGGAGCATCATCTTATACATCAGAAGGTGGCAGGTTCAATTCCTTGTCAGGGCACATACCAGGTTGCCAGCTCAATCCAGTCAGAGTGTCTCTTCCTCCCTCTCTAAAATAAATTTTTTTTAAATGGAAAGATATAGGTTCCTCTATCAACTGGCTTTTGGTCTTGTGGGGAAAAATATATACACACTTTGAATAATTACAAAGGCAGTGTTTATTAAAATACATTTCATTTTCAAAATTGAGCTATCAGCTGTTAAAGTGTGTATACATTTTTGGGGGATATCCTGTATAAACATTGAAAACATATGTATATATATATTTATATATGTATATATAATATTTATGTAAATATATATAAACTGGTACAATGAAAATATAATATACAAGAATATGTATTTACATATAATATTTATACAAATATACACATGTATAAACTGATACAATGAACATATGTACAAAATATGAGGTCAAAGAGAAAGGAGAACACTAAATGTATAAAATGAGAAAACAGAGGGACTAAACATGAAACTATTAAGACTCAAGAAAAAAATAAATATTATTTTATACAAGGTTTTTCCAAGGTATTCAATGAACTGCAAGCAAGTTGTTTAAACTACTTCAGTGAATAACAGAGCATGGCCTTTTACTAAAGAACAGATCAGTTACATAATTATAATTACAGTGAATCAACAATAGAATACACAGTATCTAAAAATGTCATGGGCTATTAAGAAAAGCAAAAGGTGACAGATGAGCAAAAGGCTAATTTCTTAAGTTTATAGCAAAGTCTATACCAATAATAGAAACATGTAGTTTGGGGGTCCTAAGCAATTAAACATACGGCCTAAAAAGTATTCGAGTTTAAAAACATTTCAACAAGCTAGTATTTTAGTAAAGAATCATTAGAAATATAATTTGGCCCTTGTTTTGCCCTTGTGAAAACTCAATTCAATAGCCATTAGTTGGGGCCAAGCAAAAAAAAATAGTTGGAGTATTGTCCATAGAGGACTGAGCTGGGTGGGGAGGATATCTTTAAATGAAAACACCACCATGTTGGATCCCAAACAGGATAAGGAGGGTATCTGCATAAGGAGGGAGCCCAGCAAGGGAAGAAAGAGCTAGAGGAAGGGGAGAAGTGTGGAGAAGGAGTGCCACACTGTAATGTGTCACAGCCAGAGTGGGGTGAGGGGGCAGGTGGCAGCAGAGAAAGCACATTGCTTACATATAGGGGAAATTGATCATGTAAACAAAAATGTTGAAATTAATGGGAGCTAAATTTCTCACTACTGAGAAAGAAGTTATTCATAAGAAAGGGAAAGAATTAGAACAAATCCCATTGTATTAGATTGGAACTGGAGATACCAACAGGCACAATATTGGTTTTCAATATAAATAGATATATAAAGAAATATAGATTTATTTGTTTATTTATTTATCTTGGTTTCTAAAAACCATTCTCCACCAAAAGGAACTAGGTCTCTTTAAGGAAACTTAATTTCAGAGCTGGTGCAGAGAAAGGACAAGATGAACCTGAAACATCTCATCATGCTAGGAAGTTTGGAAGAACTCAAAGATTGATGGGACCATGTCAAAAGGATACAGAAGCCAGGGCTCTATTGGCCAAACTTGAGTCAATTTGTGCAACAAAACAAATAATAATGGTAATGGATTTTAACACATTGAATAAAATCATAGCCTATGCTGACATAATAAAAAAAAATTCAGCCCAGCCGGCTTGGCTCAGTGGTTGAGCTTAGACCTATGAACTGAGAGGTCACAGTTCCATTCCCAGTCAGGGACATATGCCTGGGTTACAGGCTCGATCCCCAGTGTGGGGCATGCAAGAAGCAGCCAATTAATGATTCTCTCTCATCACTGATGTTTCTCTCTCCCTTCCTCTCTGAAATCAATAAAAATATATTTTTTTAAAAATTCAAAGCCTGATAAGGAACAGAATCTTTACATAATCTCCAAATACCACAAAATACTATTAAGAAAACTTTGCAGTAAAGAAGTCTAACAGACACCACCTTAATCAAATTACCCCAGTTAATATCACCAATGAGACAAATCAAAATCAAATGCCACCTGAGAGGACTCAGTGAGAAGAACACAGCATCAACTATATAATACTAGAGGCCTGGTGCACCGGTAGTGTTCCTAGGCCTGGCTGGTGATCAGGGCCGATCTGTGGGGGGACCAGTGGCCCCTCTCCCCTGCTTGCACCACCTTGGCCAGCCTGGCGCCACCCGCTCGGCAGCCCCACCCCCTGCCACAACTATTGGTCACCTTCCTTTGTGGGGCAACCAGCAGGGCAATCGGGGGGGGGGGGGGGCCCGCCGGGGAC